TCATATAAAATATACATGAGCTAAAATCAGTTTCTTTAATTTTAAAGATATGAATGTAAAAGAAACTTCTGACATATTCCAATTATAACTTAATATATTAATTTTATTTTGTTAATGCTCTATATTTCTAGGCTAGTATTTTCTGAATATCTCATGCGTGTTTTCTATTCTCTCTTTTTATTAGCTAAAGATCACTTCTTTGACCCAATACATTTTTGCACGTGCAAAACAGTTATGTGTGGGGCTTTTTGTTTTGTTTTTTGTTTTTTAATATCAACAGCCCTTTCCCATGCACCCCTTTGCAATAGAGACCCATGCCAGGTTGGGTAATTAATATAAATGACATTTTATGTACAGTATTGCTTTCTTGATTCCTGCTTTTCTACTGCTCTGTTCTACAAAGCTTTTTTTTTTTTTTTTCTGAAGTAACTACAGTCACTGCACAGTTAAATAAAACAAGTAGGGGCCCCCTAGGTTTCTGCAGGCTAGTGTGGAAGAATTATATATGGGTACACATTTCTCTGCAAAAACTGGTTATCTTACGAAACAAGTAGTCCAAGGAAGTGCCAGACTGGTCTGTGCCTACAGGGTGCTTTGTCTGCCATGTGACACACATCTGCAGACCTACAAGGAGTTTGCATTAAGTGCCTGATTCTGTGTATGCAACACACACCCACACATACACACATTCACACCCACATACATATATATGTAAAGGGATATATATGTATGTATGTACATATAAATATACTGAACTCATGTCCTTATTTACCAATTTAGATATGTACGGCAGTTCACTGCAGTAACACAAAGTACAAACACGAGCCAGGAAGCCTTAGGTCACCCATGCGTCCATCCTCATGCGTTTTACAGAAGGGCTTTCTCTGTCCTCAGTGTTTGGAGGTCGGCCAAGCACAATTGGAGAATGGAAGTCACCCCGTGGATCTTCTCGGTCACTGCCGTCATAGGAGCTGCTGGAGCTGCTCAGACTGTCCACGGGGGAGCGCCCCATTTCCTGCCGGGGCTGAGGCTGTGGAGGTTGTGGTGGTGGTGGTGGTGGTTGCGGTGGCTGTTGCTGCTGCTGCTGCTGCTGCTGTTGCTGTTGCTGCTGCTGCTGCTGCTGCTGGAAGCCTGATGGGGTCATGCGATCCCGGGGAGGTGAAATTGGCTCTGACTTAATGTTGATATTTTGGTTGGTATTAATGGACAAATTTGAACCCTGAGATAACTGCCCTCCAGCCCTATAGAAAACAATAGATAGAGATGAGGTGGATTGGCAGTGAATTCATGTAACTTGTAATACAGCACAGCAGACACTGCCTGGCTGGCAAGGGTCTAGGGTCTGGGATCCTGTCAGAATTTCCCAGAACTGGTTTTGCTCATGTCCTTCAGTCTCTGTCTGTCTGTCTGTCTGTCTGTCTGTCTGTCTGTCTGTCTGTCTGTCTGTCTCTCTCTCTCTCCACTCACTCACTCACTCACTCACTCACTCACTCACTCACTCACTCACTCACACATATTCCTAGGAGATCACATCAGTGGTACTTCAGCACCTCAACTTTGAAAAAAATCAAAAACTAGTCTTAAGTGTCTAACGCTGTGCATGGTACAATATGACAGGAACAACATGGCACCATGAGTTCTGTTCACTGTCTCTCATTCCTCAGTATCCTCTCTACTCTGACCCCGTGACAGGCACATCTCATCTGCTCTCAAAATAACCATGTGATATAAATCTTATCATCCTTAATTTTTACAAGAGGAAATAGTTTCAAAAAGGCTCAGAACTTGCTAGGAGCAGTAGGTGAGGAAGGGCAGGGCTTTTCCCTATGTCTAAGCTTCAAGTCTTTTCCATTTGTTTTCCTGGGGCCTCTTTTTGTTTGCTTTTTGTCACAGGATCTTGCTATGCTGCCCAGGCTAGTACTCAACTCCTGAGCCTCAGTCTCCTAAGTAGCTGCAACTACAAACAGAACCAAATGCCCAACTTTCAGGACCACTATTTTAAAAAAAAAACTTTTTATGTATATGAGTTCTTGCCTACATGTGTATAAGTGTACCAGTGCCATGCAATGACTGTGGATATCAGAAGAGGGCACGAGATACCCTAGAACTGGAGTTACAAATGGCAGTTAGCTGCCATGTGGGTGCTGGGAACTGAATCCGGGTCTTCTACGAGACTAGCCAGTGCTCTTAAGGCCACTGAGCCATCTCTCCAGGCCCCAGGGCCACTATTTTTAACATTTTAATGTAGAGCATGTCTAAGGCCTCGATAGTTGTGTAGGCAAAAGAATTTCCCTGTGATCCTCGGCTCCTTCACGCATGACATAATTCTTAGGAGGACTGCTGACTATAATCTACACATGGAATTGTTTCATTATGCAGGGGGAAGGGGTTGCCTGCCCTCTGGGTAGGAGGCTAGGGTGCCCCAGTCCTGAGCAGGTACAAAGCAGCCAATTGTTGCTCTGCTGTCCCCTCTTCTGATGTCCTGCACCTATTTCATTTCAGAGGCCTACTATCATTCTGGTTCTATAAAGACCATTTCCCATTCTTCAGGGAGCATGGTCTCTTCTAGGCACCACCATAAATTCTCTTTGATTACAGTCTCACACCCTGCCCATATGAAACATTGCTTCTGCCAATGACATATAATTTATGAACATGGATGGGACCAATCATATGAATCCTATGGTACCTGATTCACTGCTTCATCCACTTTTCCTCCACTAAGATCCATGGAGAAAACAAAAGACACAGACTCACCATCTGCTTCTCCAAAGCAAAGGGGAAAGGGAGACAGATGAGCCTGGATGCCTTTTAGTTGCCCTTCCTCAGGGAGTAAAATCAGAGGCAGGTATTGGGAAGCATGGTAGGAGGCAGTGCTCACTCACAGCTCAGTAGATGGGAGGGGGTACAAACAGGTGGCACCTGGATCTTAGCATCCCCTCGATACCATCTGAGACTCTCTGAGTGTGTCTGGAAGGAAAAGCTCTGCTCTCAAATCCCTTCAAGGAGCGCCTGGTTTGTCAGCTACCATCTAGAGCCATGTTAAGAAAATACTTTGTCCCAACACATGGATCTGCCTCAACAAGAATCACGGCAGGGTTACTTACATGAGAACTGCAGAGCAAAAGACTCTGACAGGGAAAGTGTGCACACACCAGGAGCAAAAGCCCAGGAAAATTTACAGTTACTCACACTAGAGAGCTGAGGGCTGCTTGTCCTAGATGGTGTTGCTGCCAGGCTGAAGCCTGCCCCAGAGACAGCATTCCTGGGGAGGTGAAGCCTTGCAGGGCCGACAGGTCAGCGCTGGTCAGTGAGTAATCTACAAAAGAAGGTAACTATTACTGCAAGAATGCTATGCCAGACTGTTCATCTATAGTTATTATTCAAAAATAAATATGCCTACCCTCTGGAACAAAGAGACACTACACTGAATCTGGATCAACACATCTTCATGATGTAATGTAGAAGAGGAAAGAGAGAAGGCTTTCCTTACAGGAGCCAAGTTTAGTGACAAAGACATTGACTATGACACAATTAACTACATTTGGTTTAAGTACTTGCCAACTATACACAAATGACCTCAAGTTCATTAAAATCTTTCTGTTAACACCCAAGTGTAATATAGCTCACTTTTATATGAATGCTTCAGTCATAATTACTGTGACCAAAGCTTAGGACATTAGGTATTGCTCACATACCAAGTTATTTCAGTTCATCATTAACACTTGGCTTTTCCATTTAGTTCTAAAGAGAGGTGACAAAGACTTCTACTTTTGAATTCTCTCTCATGTCAAGAGAGGTGTTTAAAAGAGTTGATCTTCCTACTGAATTAACATTTTACAAGCTTAGTTGAGACAGCACAGCTGGTGCTGACGTTTCTACAGGACTATCTTTTCTTACTCTGCATGTCCTGAGAGTCTCAGCATAGCCACAGAGGCTAAGAGAGGTGCTATCACACTGATGCCTGCCCTACTGACTTCTCCAGTCCACAGCTCAGTGACCCTCTTTGCCTGTCCAATGACCCATATGACACGTTCAGTTGGTCATCTCTACAAACACCTCAAATTTGACAAAACTCAAACAGAACTCAAAGTTTCCTCTAAACCTGATCTTCCTTAAATACTTGACTCTTGGTAAGTGGCATTAACACACCCAGTGGCTCATGCCCGCAAGCTGTGTTAATTCTTGCCCTGCTTCTCTCTTATTTGGTTTGATCAGTTCTATCTTCTGTCTCTCTGGCTTGCCAAGGTTCCAGACTACTGCAATCATGGCCTAGGTCAACCCACCAGCAACTATTATTTAGACCACTACTCCCTTATATGACTTTCTGGCATTTACTTTAAAAAAGATTCTTTCTTTTTTTTTTTCCTTTTTGAGATTTTATTATTTTCAATTACGTGTACGTGTGTGGGTATGTGCACATGAGTGCAAGTACCTGTGGAGGTCAGAAAAGGATGTCAGATTCACCTAGAGCTAGAGTAACAAAGCCACCATGAGCCACCTGAAGTGGGTACTAAGAACTGAACCAGATCCTCTGTAAGCTCTCAACTCTGAGCTACCTCTCCTGCCCTCTCAGGAATTTCCTTTTGCCCTTACATAAGCACTAGAGCCCAAGTGACCTTTTAAAAAACAACAAATATGATTGTGACACTACTAAAAAAAATTTATATGGATGAGTGTATTGCCTGCATGTACGTAAGTGGTGTGCAAAGCCCACAGAAGTCAGAAGAAGGTGTTGGAAATCAAACCTGGTTCCTCTGCAAAGCAGTCGGTGCTCTTAACTGCTGAGCCATCTCTCTAGTACTGTGACAATATTTTATAAACCGTTTTTCTAGCTTCCCAATGCTTCCAAGACAACATGAAAAATCTGTAACACACCCAACACATCCACACTTACTTCTCTAATCTCAATTCCTTTTAAAAATATTTTATTCATTATTTTAATGTGTATGCGTGTATTGCCTGCATGTAGGTTAAGTGCACCCATGTCATGCAATGCCCGCAGAGGACAGAAGAGGCCGTCGGATCCCTTGGAACTGGAGTTACAGACAGTTGTTAGCTGCCATGTGGGTGCTGGGATTCGAACCTGGGTCTTCTGCAAGAACCACCAGTGTTCTTAACCACTGAGCCATCTCTCTAGCCCTCCAATCTCAATTCTAACTGCTTTGCCTATATCTCTCTCCCTGTTCTGCTGGGTGGAGTCTGTGTCCTTGGCTACTGGGCTGAAGGTAGCCCCTGATACAATAGGAACTGATCTTTCCTAGTACCGCTTGTCTTTTTTTCTAACAGACCTCAGTTCTATCACTGACTATATGCCTATATTTATAGTGCCTGGTAGGGTACCTGTCTTTTAGTGTCCAACAAACATCTGCAAAATAAATGCATTAGTACAGCTAAAGGCTGGGAGTGATGTTCCTGATAGGAATGAGGAAGTATCTATTTTACTTTTATTTCAAAAGTTGCACATTTATTCATCCCTTTAGTACCTGACACAGGCTTGATACTAAGTCTATACAGAAAGATAAATGACATACTACAGAAGATAAAACACAGACAAATGTCTTAAAGACAACATGGCAAAATTAAACAGAATAGCCATTCCAGGAAAGACAGCAAAGATGAACTTAGATGGAATGAGACTAATGTGAGAGAAATATGATTTCAAGGGGGCACTTACTCCATTTTTTAATGTATTTTGTAATTCCTTTTAGATGTTATAAAATATGCATTTAATATTTTAAACTGCCTATAAGCATATAAACAGTGGATGAACTTGCACTGAGGAACATCTAGATACAAATGCTTGACCAGATAGGACTTAGCATATATGACAGAATACCTGAAATCTGGTGGGGGGGGGGGGTCTATGGAGGGCAGGCAGGGGGAGGGAGTCTAAATTTGAATAAGATGTATAGTATGAAATCAATAAAATATTAAAAATGAAAAATAAAACCTTAAAAATTATCTCTAATATAATAACATTTCTAAAAGTATTACAGTGCAATGTCAAGTATACTGGAAAGCCTACAATGAAATGCTCAGTAAACTGCAACCTAATTTTGACACAATCCAAGCTTCACTTTCTCAGCTGCTATGCACCTGGCCTCTCAAGCTCCCTTCTTTCCTACCTTCTCAACCTCAGAGTGTAAGCTAGAAACACAACTTAGGACTTCCCCTGCACATGGTTAACCAGCTAAGCTATGTCCTGTCTCCTCATCTAGAATAAACTAGAAGATAACTCTCTAGCACAGTATCTCTTATGCAGCAGGTGATTCATGTATTATAGCAGAGTTTTTATAAATGTTTAATCCCTAGCCTTTTCTGGAAACTGTGACTTTTTAAGACACAGAAGACAGGACTGAGGCTACTATGCAACTGAGAGATGATTTGAGCATTGTCTTTTTTCACACTGATGGCTGAAAAAGATAATAGGCATTTCCTGAGGCTTTCTTTTTCAATAAGACCATTAAAAGCTGTTTTAAATGAACTGGTACTTGGAATAAAGTGGCAGTTAAATATATCAATTGCTAGTCTCCTTCAGGTAGCTCCAGACAGCAGGTTTTATAGGGTTTTTTAAAAATTATTTTTTACTTATTCTTTTCACTTTATGTTTATGAGTGTATTGCCTCCATGATGTAAGTGCACCCATGTAGTACAATGCCCACAGAGATCAGAAGAGGGCATCTGATTCCCTAGAACTGGAGTCACAGATGATTGTTAGCTGCCATGTAGATGCTGGGACCAAACCCAGGTCCTCTGCAAGAGCAAGCAGCCAGTGTTCTTAATCACTAGCCATCTCTCCAGCCCCCAGATAGCAGTTTTAAAGATGGGTGCCAAAGCATTTACTCTGAAGTCTAAAATTAGATGATGTCTTCGACAGTGCACCTATGAGAAGTATAGAAGAGTAACTTCCTTGCACTGTAGTCTCTGGATAACAGACAAGGTGGCTATAATTTACTGATTTTTTCTTTGAGCAATAGGTATTAAGCTCAGCTGGGGATAAAGTGAAACCCAATGAGTTTCCAGTCTTTCTCAGAATGGGAAATCTAGAGGGACCCCACCATATGCCTGTTCTGCATATGGTCTGTTTGGCTAGCAGCACTCCTCTTGTCACTGTGATACTCCTCAACTTTCTTGACAGACTTGTACCTTGAGGTATTTTAATATGAAATGTCTAAAAAATACAAACAAGTGAAAACCTCCTCTCAGCATCAAAATGACTGCCGGAGGGAGAAATGAAGAAGGTGCTCATTTTGCCAAACCAGTAGGTCCAAGAGGGCACAGCTTCTCCACCACAGCTAAGCACCCCTAAACACTTCTGGTCTGTCCCAAAGCAGGTTAACAGCATGAAGACAAGCATCTTATTTCAAATCTGTGGAGAAGCAAGACAACTACCTAAAAATACCAAAGCAATAGGTTATTGCATTCCTTGGCTGCATGAATGCTACATTTTGATAAAAGCTACTTGTTTATCAATGAACAGTGAAAGTTCACCCTGGAGTTCATTCATGATCAATTCATTTTGTGTAAGTTTTTAAAGGTTTAGTATATGTTTTTAAATATATTTAAATTTGAATGAAAAAAACCCATAGATAAAATTCTTAACAAACATACTTTAAAAAACCCACAAAAGTACATAGTAATCACAAAGTAGGGAGAATAAAGTCCAGGAAAAGGCAGTAGAGAGGGCTCACCAGTGTTGTAGGCTGTCGGCATTGCTGAATATACTAGTCCCTGTGGAGGCAAGCTTGGAGTTGTCACAGACACTACTGGGGTGGCAAGAGGTTGGGTGGCTTGAGAACTGCTTATCCTTTGGGTATTCTGTGAGAGATAAGAAAAAAGAGTAAGTGTAATTATGTCGTATTTATGTTCAGACTGAATATTTTAAAAATAACTTTCCATTTAAATGCGACACTTTTCACAGCTTTGTGTGAATGTCAGTACTTCCTGAAGTAGTGCTGATATGAAAACCTTAGTTACTAATGGGAGTAACTAAATAATTTTAAGGCATCTGTTTTTATGATAACTATTCATTTCCCATTTCAAAAATTTAGCTTATTAATGTCAGAGGCAATAACACGTTTTAAAATTTTTTTTAATTTATTATTTTGATTTTATGTGTACACGTGTATTGCCTGCATATAGGTAAGTGGACCCATGTCGTGCAATGCCCACGGAGAACAGAAGATGCTGTCAGATCCCCTGGGACTGGAGTTACGGACAGTTGTTAGCTGCCATGTGGTGCTGGGATGCGAACCTGGGTCTTCTGCAAGAACAACCAGTGTTCTTAACTGCTGAGCCATCTCTCCAGCCCCCAGCAATAATACTTTTATCCGTTAGCTTAACAAGGACTTGATGTCATTACAGTTACTGTCAGACTACCTTAAATGAAGTATGGCTAAGTTCTAAATACCTGATGACAGCAAAGGTCATTTGTATATACCAAGATTATAAATTTAAGACTACAGGAATCTAAAATACTTCCTTTGCAGCACTTACATATTAACATGGTTTGAAGTGAAGGCTAATTATGTACAGCATGTGTTGTTTTCCTTCTTGCTGACCCTGTGGGTGACCTATTTTTTTTTTTAACAGCACATTCAGATCTATATCCTTTGGTATCCCAGTCTTCTGAAAGGAGAGGGTTTGGCTAGAGTTTTAAAATAACGAACTTTTTCAAAGGCTGTGAATGGAGTGATATTAAATACTTACTGATTGACCATGTATACACATTATCTTAAGCCAGGACTGGAATAAATACAAAGTCAACTACTAAGTGCAGTTAGTTTAGAGTCCCTGTCTTCTATGTGTACAAGAGTCAGCTTCTCCTCACAATGACCTAAAGTTGACATTTTCCAAAATCAGGGATCAGAGGAACAGAAAAGACTCCACACTGCTAGTCCACAGGGCCAGAGCATGACTACAATATATGTTTTTACAAATGAAGTTACAGTCTGATATTTGGGGGTTTAAATCATAAAAGTATCAGTGCTATTAGACTGTGAAGAGTCAGAATGAGACTAAGTTTTCTCTGCCACTATTTTTAGAAAGGCATGAAATAAAGGCCTTTGAAGAGACTAAATCTGAATAGCTAAAAAAATGACCTTTTTTGAGGATGATCTAGACTCCAAATTCTTTCCTTTTAGTTTGTATTTTCTATCCTAGCTTGTTAAAGGATATCCAAAGAGCCATTCAATGTGGGATATACTACCTGAGTTTTGGTCACAGATTCACTAGTTCCTGAGCCGGAGAAAATCATTTCACTACTTTGAACCTTGCAATTTGTTACAGAGGGAGGTTAGAAATTTCTGTCCTGCCTGACTTGCAGTGTTCTTATTGAGCATCAAAGAAAACAGTATACTAGAAATGAAAGACAGAATCCTGAAAATCCTGTCTTAACAAACTCTTTGTAGTGAAAAGTCTACATTTCTGGTGATTAAGAAGGACAATTGCATGTATTCCTTCTGATCCATAGCTATTCCACCAAAGCTTTAAGAGTTGTTCTAGAAGTGAAAGGCTTCTAAAGATAAATCTCTGCAGCCTAGCTATTTCACCAGAAAACATCCCCAATCCCGGGGACTGGGCCCTAGGGTCCTCTCTTCACTTTGGATCAGGGCCATATGTCACTATTTTAGTGTGCATAGATCTTTGAATAACTTTCTAAATTCTAGTTCTAAGTTCTAGTGGACCATGTTTCGGATTGTACTTTGATTCTGACGCTTTCTATTAAGCTTTAGAGTCTGAATTAGCCTAAGTTTTAAAGAATATGAATATTATAGTTTTTAGTGATATATTTGCTTCTTAGTAACAAATACTTATTTTCATGATTTCTATAGTTCAACATACTCAGAAACTTATCTCTGAGATACTATAATTCTATAATTAAGTATTACTTTGAAGAAGGTAGAAAGTCAATGTATTATAACAGGTAACACATTTTAGTTTCAGACTCAACTTAAAAATTTTTAATGCCTTTTGGAACTAGGACTTAATTTGATCTTTCATATTAGTATTTTTTTAATTAATTTGAGACAGGGTCTCCCTGTAGCTACACCCAGCTGGCCTGAAACTCATTATGTAGACCAGGCTGGCCCTGAACTCACAGAGATCTGCCTGCCTCTGCCTCCCCAGTGCTGGGATTAAAGGCATGCATTACCACGTCCGGCCTTTCTAAGGCTATACTTTTTAAATGGATATAGTCTAAGGGGTATAGATATTATTATTGCTTTTGCTTTGCTTTGTTTGGTATTTTAAATATTTTATGTATTATTTTTATTTTATGTGTATGCGTGTACTGCCTGCATGTAGGTAAGTGCACCCATGTCGTGCAATGCCCACGAAGGACAGAAGAGACTGTTGGATCCCCTGGAACTGGAGTTACGGACAGTTGTTAGGGGCCATGTGGGTGTTAGGATTTGAACCTGGGTCTTCTGCAAGAACAGTCAGTGTTCTTAACTGCTGAGCTATCTCTCCAGCCCCTCATATTGGTCTTAAAGCCAAACTAGGTGAAAGAATGCAGCATGGAGATGTTTTAGTGTGGCTTATCCCTATCCCATGGCTTCATCTTTATGGCAACCTCTTGTGTATCTTCAAACACTGGGGTAGCAATGACACTTTAAAATGGTTCAACCCATCAAACCTCTATTGCAGTGAGTTCCATGAATAAGTGACTTTCTGAACCACCAGAGGGCAACATAGTGCTATATAATTCAAGAAAGTACTTTAAGGGTAATCAGGGTAAACAGTGGGGTCTAATATAGGAAGAACTACTTCCATTAAAATCATGATGATTGTGGTAACATTAAGTAAAGCATTAGACAGATATTCACTATAGAATCTAGCATCATGTACAGCTAACCAGTACATTTTATTTAGCTAATACAAAATCACATCCAAAACAAGCAAGCACAAAGCAAATAAAGGCATCTCTTATTAAGAGTAAAGCACAGCTAATCTTATTTGAAAGCAAACTGCAAAACACATCAGCATGCATAAACATGTAATAATAAAAGATAAATGAAACCAATGGATGCCTTTATACCCCATGCTCTCATGCACTCATAACCACTGTTCACACTAAAACTCGAGCACTATTTTTATTGTCTTTAAGCTAAAGCCATCCAATTAAAACTGACTTGAATGCATGAGGATTACTTCTGTGAAGTTTGGGTTTTAGTTCACAATGAAGAACTAAGTTATTTTTAGTCAAGTTTATTTCTAGAGGAAAAGCCAACAGAAAGTATTTGTTTTGGAGAAAAAGGTTAACAGTTGCATTTGAGAACAGAACATCTTCTGATAAAAGTAAACTTGAGTATGTTCAATTACAGATATTCTTTTTGGTAAACAGGGAACCCCTTGTGGTTCAGAATGTCTCATGCACAATGAAATAATTCCAACTCTGAAGAAGGTGACTTCACCAAAAATGATGTAATCTTTTTGAAAGGAGGAAACATAACACAAGATTATGTGTTACAATCTCAGGGACTCTGAGGGTGAAGTCATTTTCTAAAAATATTTTAATAATTTGGAGCCACATAAGGTATTCTGTATATCTTGTTAAATAATTTTGAAGTATTTTATGCTCACAGACAGCTATTGTTTTTAAAGGCTCATTTTCAATGCTCCTCCCAACAAAATGGGTCAGCATATACAATAACAAAAATCAGAGTCTGTAGTACTAATTACTTCCTTGATTCAAAATGTTTAGAAGGTGTTTTAAACAAGTATCTGTGTAACAAAGGAACACTGGGTTATATAAAAACATTTAAGACAATTAGTACTTTAAAAAAAATCTTTTTCAATGCCCTTCAAGCAGAAAACCACACTCACCAACTCCAATTCCTCTTCCTCCGACTGTACTCAGCACATAAGAGGGATAAGAGAGTTACTGACTGTTGGTACTTGTAACAAAATCTTTCTTCAGAAAAACATGGTATTTAGATTCCAGACGTAGTTTAGAAGCTTACAGAGGTTATGTACATAATAAACACATAAAAATTACTTTTTGTCTCTATATTTGTAATGAAAAAATTCCTTTAAATTCTCTAGGGCAAGGCTTTAAAGCCACCCCCACCACCCAAGTGCCACCTCTACTTCTACCTACCCTCCTGTTGGCCTATCCTACACACTGTCAGTGCTCCTGGGACACTTACAAGGATTCCTAATCATGTCAACAGGCTTTATTAGAAGCCCTAAGCATACTCTGTACTTCCACTTTAATCTTCCCATCACTGTACCACCCAGCCACATACAAACTCCTTATGTATCCTGCCAGATCCTGGTAGGCAGAAATTGCTGTGTACTTTATTTTCCTCAGTAGCCGGCATTATAAAACAACAGAACTCACATGTTTGTTAATAAGCATTATAGTTTTAAGTATGTTTATCATTTGCAAATAACAGTATTCAGAAGAATAAAATCATTTTAGTGGAGTAAAAACCATGTATATCAAGAAAATAAGACTAAAGGAGAAAAGAACTGTTAAAATCATAAATAGTAAAGAAATAAATGGAACATGTTTTCTCCTTTTCTTTTAATCATATATGAAACATTAATATTCTATTAACAGTCTGCTCATTGGTTTCTTTCATTTTACTTGACTAAGTCACGTTTCTTTCAACCTGTGAAATGTCTTTATAAGCATTGACGATAAGCAAAGTCCTAATCTTAAAGCAGGTTTCTCTGCAAATGGGGCATTGAGGAGAGAGGCCGACTACTGACTCCACAAACCTTGTACTTTGCTAACAAGTGGGCAAAATACACTTCAACTATTCAGTGAGACAGAACTATTTTAATATTTCCAATTTATAAGATAGATACAAAAAAGTTGTCAAACTGTATGTATAAAATACAGTTTTCATTTTAATATATTAGGATAAGGGTGCGAATAATTTATGTGCCAAGTTTTTGAATTTTCCACTGGGATTTTGTGTTTTCTTAAAACAAACCAAAGGAAAACCAGATATACTTTTACTAATCAGTTTCTAAACATAGTTTGGGTCTTTCTAATAATTCCAGTTTTTGGAGACAGGGTCTCACTATGTAGCCCTGGCTGGCCTGAAACTCCCTATGTAGATTAGGCTGACCTGAAACTCAAGATATCCACCTGCCTCTGTCCTCAGTGTTGAGATTAAATATGTACACCACAGCCAGCCCAGCCAATAACTCTTAGAAACATTATTTCTGTGCCTTAAATGACATTTCTTCATTCTTTATTTCTGAGCGCTAACAGCAGGTATTGCCCATCCACTTCCTGAGAGGTGAGCCAAACAGTCATTTCTGAACGTTTCTTTCTCAGCTCCTTTTCAGGCACACTTCTTTGTTATGTATGTAAGTGCTTTAAACTTTTTATTCTATAACAACTAGATTTAGACATCAGCTGTAAAGATAGTGCCTTCGTACATTTCACCAGCTTTCCCTAAGGTTAACATCCCAAAGAAACTACTAAAAACTAGTAACTCAGCATTTGTAAAACTTGGCACTTAAAGTACATGGATTCCACCAGTCTTTCTACCCAGACCCATTCTTTGCTTGCTATTGTTTTGAGACAGGGTTTCCTATGTAGCACTGGCTGGAGTCTCACTATGTAGGCCAGGTTGGCCTCCAGCTCACAGAAATCCACCTGCTTCTGTCTCCCAAGTGCTGAGATTAGAGGCACGTACCACTCACTGCTCTCCACTACCAAGATCCTTTTGCTGACAGGACAAGATCCTGGATTACAACGGTCTTCAGTTGCCATGTATCCTTAGTCTCCTCTGGTCTACAGCAGTTTCCTGGTATTTTTTTTCCCCAATGAATGTGGCACTTTTGAAGAATATTAATCAGGCATCTTGTAGGATATCTCTCAATTTGGATCTGTCTTATAATTTCATTCATTCACAGAGAGCATGGACTTTTAGAAGAATACCTGACCTTATCTGAAGGCAGATGCCATCTTTTTATCTTATTACCAGTGATATTAAGCTGCTTATTTAAGTTAAAGTAGTATCTTTCAGGATTCTCCACTATAAAGACTATAAAGTCAGCATTTTCCCCTTTGTCAGTAACAAATATTTGAGGACAGACAGTTTGAGGCTATACAAATAATATGTTTCACATTAAACTTTTACCTACTAACTGCAGCATTTATTTTCTGGTCTGCTTATAACCATTATGGTACTCTAAAGCTGTTTTACTATATCTCTTATTCTTTCTATATTTACTACTTAGAACTGTTACTCAAAGAAGAGTGGTATTTAATTCTCTATTCTTCTCTATTTAATCAATCACTTACTTTTACCAACAATGGATTCAATATTTCTTATTCCTTGAGTTATAACACCAAATCTACTGTAATATTTTTTGCTACTCTAAGTGTTCTAGTTTTGGCCACTGGGAGCTCTTTTTGGAAGGGTGGTTCCTGTGACCTTTTGATAAGTACCTTCTTATTCTCTGGTCCCTCTGGCTTATATTGCACTTCCCTGAACTAGTTCTATAACCCAACACTTCTTCCAGGGAGAACCTCAGTCTTTGAATTAGAGAAATGTGTTTAGAAACTACAATCAGAGCACTAGGTACATTTAGCTATTAGATGAATTACTTTAAGGACCTCTCAGCAGATGGAGCTAGGAAATATATGATGTATGCTAAATTGAGTGTACACACATCTGTAAAGATTTCCTATTAAAAATTTGTGTGGTGACAGCTTGACTTCTATTTCACTCTAGTACAATGAACACACTAGACAAACATACTCGAGCACAGCATGCCACCTGTGTGTGATTGTCATCATGAGTCAGAGCACATGGACAGACACAAGGACCATCCCACTACAATCGGACAATGTCTTGAGTTTATCATTCACCCATTTTCTGCACATTATCCCAAGGTAAATCAATTTAAAACAAATTTGTTTCCAGTAAACCAGCTATCACAATTTATACTAGGAAAAGGAACTTCTAGAACCCACCTAAGTTTTGAATTTTGCTTTTTAATTTTTCAGTTTTAGTACAAGTACCTAACTGTGCTCAATTGTAAAATTGCACACATGAAAAACTGGCCAACATAAACAATGAAAATAGATTATTAAGGAGTCTACTAAGTGCTTATCATGAAGGCAGTATAAATATTTAATCTGTAAAACTGATGTGTAGCTTGATATTTAGGTGATAGGACCACCAATTAATACATGCATATTTTATGTGTGGGTGAAGAGAAAAGATACTTTACACATTCAATTTTGCTGTACTGACAAAATGAATAAATTAATGTTTTCTTTTTGCAAAGAGGCACATAATTAAAAGCAGGCCTTCATGTTGTAGCTATCATCTTTACAAATTCTTCATAGTTGAGTTGCTCATCTCCATGACTATCTGATTCTCTCTCTCCCCCCCCCCTCATCTTTTTTGAAACAGGGACTCCAGCTGGCCTGAAACTCACTATGTAGACCAAACTGGCCTTGAACTCATCCACTTGCCTCTGCCTCTCAAGTGTTGGGATTAAAGGTGTGTGCCACCATACCCGGCTTGATCATTTACTTCTTCATGTTAGTTTTCCTTCTATTTTTGTTGTGACATGCACTGATGTAACCACTTATTCTTGTTGAAGACTCAGAATCCTGGAAAGCCTCAAGGATATCCTTCTTTACTGTGTTGTTCCTTTTTCTAGTAATTACAGCAAAAAAAAAAAAAAAATTCTAAAAAGTGATGTCATCATCCACTTTGTCCAATGTCCTTTGATTCAGCACCTGCTGAGATTTAACCCAGTGACCTCATGACAATCCCAAATCTCTCTGCTGTGATGGTGCCATCGCCACCTTCATCAAATCAGGTGAAAAGGTCCTTGAATTCTGCAGAGTTGCCAAGGTGCCATGAAAGAGGAAGAGCAGAGGGGGTGGTGATGGCTGTGCTCTGCAGGGGCTGACAGCAGGAGTGCCTCCACTGTTGCGCTAAGGGGACGGCGTGTACTGCTCCTCAGCCTTGTGTCCCCACCACTACATGCACCACTGCCAGTTCATTTTTTAAAATTTTGTTAATTTTTAAGGGGTACATATAAATATGGCTTTAATTTTCATTTCATTAACGTCTAATATTGAGCACATTTTCATAAGCTTATTTGCTACCTATAAGTCATCATCTTTTTTGTTGTGTGTTTGTTTTGAGACAGGGTCTTACATATGTAGCCTTCACTGGCTTGGGACTCGCTACATAGACCAGGCTGGCCTTGTACTCACAGAAATCTATGTGTCTCTGCCTCCCATGTACTTGCATGTGTGTGTACACCCATACAGGCCAGACATGAACATATGATCCCCTGGAGCTGGAGTTACAACAGGTGGTTGTGAGCCACCTGATGTGGGTTCTGGGAATTTTTAATTTCCCTTGAGATTTCCTCTGAGGCACACAGGTTATTTAAAAGTATTTTGTTAAATTTCTAAAATGAAATTTTTTTTTCTATTATCTTTTGATATTGATTTCTAGTATGAGCTGATTATGATCAGAGAATCAATTCTTTCAAATTTATTGAGTTTTGTTTTATGGCATAGGATGGTCTACTTTGGTGAACTGTTCCAAAAATCTTTTATAACTTAATATTATGTAAAAAAGAAAAAAGATACCTTAATTATATGGCTTTCTTCCCTTAAACCAGTAACTAATCTAAACCAGGCTAATCTAAGAAAATCACCAGACAGACAACTCTCAGTTGAAAGGCATTCTACAAAACAGTGACATATGGACTTTAGTAATAATAATAATTATTGATACTGGGACATTAACTTTAATAAATGTACCATGCTAGTGTACAGATATTACAAGAAGAAACTGTATGGAGTCCAGAAGAACTTTATGATTTAGCAATCTCTTTAATGACCGAAAGCTGCTCTAAAGTAAAAGGCTCAAAACTTGTTATTCCATCCACTGATCCCACTTCCCTTATTCTTCATTTCACTGTAGAGACTTAAATTCGCTGATATCATTTTGCTTTTGCAGAAGACTTTCTTTAACATTTTTTGAAGAGTAGTTCTGTTGGCAATAAATTCCAATGCTTTTTATTTGAGAAAGCATTTCACGTTTGTTTTGGAAAAACCTTTTTGCTGGTTATAGAAATCTGAGGATTTTGTTGTTGTTGTAGTTATTTTTAAATTTCAACACATGAAATATTTTGCTTTATTGTTTCCCAGTTTGAAGAGAAGTATAACAGTAATTCATGTCTATGGTCTATATGTGACATGTTTATTTTCTCTTTGCCCTTTGCTTTTAGTAGTTGCATTACTTGCCTTAAAGTGTTACTTCAGTGGGATTCATGATGGAAAGCTTGTAAGAGAAGAGGCTTACCCTATACTGTGGCTCCAGAAATTTCAAACAATCCTCCAGTGCATGCTTGGCCTCCAGCAACTTACTAATCATACTAGTAAAGTTATTTAGCACCTGTGATATGCCTGGTGTGTCAATGTCTCTTTCCATATAACCATCTTTCCCTAGCCTCCAGGCCAGATGACTACTCTGAAATAGCAGCACTAAAATGGGCTGCAGGGAAACTGTGAACTGCTTTATACTGAAGTTTTTTCCACTACAGAGTTTAAAGCAACTAGTTTTCAATTTGCTATATATAAAAATGAAAAAGTACTTTTTAAAAACTTTTAAAAAACTCAGAGTATGAGATTTAAACAAATTAAAATTAAAGGTCCTTGGGTATATCTAATGCTATCTTGGACATTAGAGCCCTAGTCATGACCATAATCTAATTGAGATTCAAATGAAAACACCACAAATGATTGATGTTTTGTAATATATCAAGTATTACACAAATGTAGAATTATTCCCTAAGCCTGATAGCATCACTTCCACTTAGCAAGTTTAGAAGCTGCACAGCAGAACAGGCACCTGGCATAGCATTTAGTATGCCAACAAATTGCTGCTAAACTAAAAATGACTTTAAAATGACTTGTATATATATATATATATTCTAAAATTTCTATAAGAAGCTAAGAAGGATAAATATTCTGTTCTTCAAACATAAAGATAATTAAAAAGCAAATGACATTAGAACCCTAAAGATACCATCAAGGAACAAAGTAGGGGACACTATACTTCTTACAGAGTTAATAGAGAAGGGTTATTTCAAAGAAACAAGCAAAGAAAATTATTTGGAGAGTAGGCCATTCCAGTTTGCAAGCACTCTTCTCTACATATTCTACAATAGATCTCTGTGATATGCAGAATTTTCTAACAAATAATTTAGTTATCTCTCATAGAAAAGCATGCAAAATATTACTGAAAGTAAGCCAAGTACAGAAAAAAAATGACACATTTAATTCATAAACTTTGGAATGAGATTGCCAAACAAAGTTTCTATCTGAGCATAACCACCTCTCTGTATTCAGTTTTTACTTTAAATAACCACATTTATTTGATTTTTAAGCATTTAAAAAAGATTTGTCTCTTTGAATGCTAATTTTGAATAGAAAATTGATTAAGAAAACAAGTGAATACTATGGAGGTCAGAAAACCTGAAATGAAGATACAGACTATTATAAAATGCATGTTTTTAGAAGAAAGGTAAGCACTGGGTCAACTTACTAGTGGTGGCATCATGCCCTTGCTTGAAGGGGGAATGACGACTCGGAGATCTGGTTTTCGACTATTCATTCCAAGATTACCACCACCTGGTGGAGGGGGAGATTTTGTAGGCATGACTTTGCCTAAACTATTTGCACCAGTATTTCCAATCAAATTTGGAGAGGCTCTTGAGTTTACAAATCCATTTCCTGGGAAAGAAAAGAAGTGCTTATTAACAACATTCTAACATTAGAATGCCTTAATTACTAAATCTAAAATAATGCTAACTGCCCATAAATGTATTCCAATATATTTAATGACTTTTATAAACAAAATAATTTTATGCTTACCATGTATAAAGTTTACTATTTGTAATAAATGGCAACTTAATGCCATTATTATGCTACTGTTATTATATTTTGGAGAATCTTCATTTGGGTTTGTGTATTTTTAATCTTAATTTTTGTTTTAAAATTTGTATCTTAAAATGTTGTTTGTGTGTTTTGTTTGAGATGGACGGTCTTTACTATGTAGCCCAAGCTAGCCTTGAACTCACAGAGACCCATCTGCCTCTTAAGTGATGGGATTAAAGGGATGTATCACACATCCAACTACTTGAATATTAAAATTTCTAAAAAATTTGGGGGGCTGGCAAGATGGTTCAGTGGGTAAAGGTACTTGCTCCCAAGCACCTGACTTCAATCTCCAGGACCCATATGGTAAGAGGAGAGAAACAAGTCCCACAGGTTTTCCTCAAACCTTCACATGTACACTGTGATGTGTGTGTATGCACATATACACACTATATTAAACAATGTATAATATAATAATATGTAATAAAAATTTAAACTTTTGCTTTTTTTAAGTATGTAGACTTTTGTATGTTAAGTGTTGAATTATGTGTTATAACTTCATCTCCTTGGAAAGGGCTTACTTTGTTCTTTTCTCCAAACCTAGTACAACATTTTCTCTGCTTCTTCTCATACCACTCTTCCAGATATTTTTCTTCTCAGTCTTACTCTACCCTTCTTATTCTCTGTCCCATTTTCCCTAATTTATTTCTCTACAGAAATAGTGACACCTTAGCCCTAAAAACAAAACAAAACAAAAATCCCAACAAAAATTAACTACAGTCTGCCCAAGTGGTACTCTAGCACCCATTTCCCACCACCTGGGGGACACAAGTGAAGAGCACAGTATCTTCTTCTGCAGCCTACACTGGGAATACTGTCAAACCTTCAGAGCTGCTACTACAGTCAGCTTTCCCTGACATAGACCCAGGTGAAGACAACCCAAAAAGAGGATGCATAAAATACAATAAAAACAGTGGGGAAAGGAAAAAAGAAACCCCACAAACTGGAGGATACATAAGTTAGAACAGATGTGTAAAACACAATAAAGATTTAAAAAAAAAAACTGATATAGTAGCATCACACTACAACATCCCCACAAACTAACAGCTTCTCAATTCTGGGGAAAAGATGGTGAGAAGGTGGAAATGCCAGAAAAGGATCTGATTCCTACTTATAAAAAGGATCAATGATCAAACAGAAAAACTCAAATAAACAGCACGTAACTTAATTCAAGATCTAGACAAGAAAGAGGAACTCAAGACATACTAGAGAGTTGACCAAAGTGGACGACAGAATCAGTAACTTGGAAGAAAAACTTTAAAATGTGAAAGAAAAATTCAGCAAGGAAATTGAAAATCTGAAAAAGAACCAATGGTAATTCTGGAAAAGTAGAACAATTTCAGGGATGGAGGACAAGGTCAGGACAATAATACATACAAACATATAAAGAAACAAAATGAATGAACATGATTAAAAATTTCAAGAAACCATGCCTAAGAATCCATAATATAGAAAAATGAGCTGAGAAAAGCCAAAGACCTCAGGCAATCTATTCACTGAAACTACATCTGAGAATTTCCCAAATGTAGATAAAGATAAAGACATCCAAACACAAGAAATACTTAGAATCTCAAATACACAAGATGAGAGAACTTCTCCATGAAGTTCTCCACACCACAGTCAAAATGTCAAAAATATAAAGCAGAGCTCGTGAGATGGCTCAGTGGGTAAAGGTGCTTGCCACCAAGCCTGACAATCCAGTTTGATCCTGTGTATCCACATGGTAGAAGGAGAGAACTGACTCCCACAGGTTGTTCTCCAATCTCCACACCCATGCCATGACATGTACATGCACCCACACACATATACATGCATTCACACAATAAAATATAGAAATGTAATAAAAAAATTACAAAGAAAAGTAAGAATTACAAAAGCTATAAGGGGAGGCTAGTGAGATTGCAGCAGGTAAAGGCCAGTGAGTGCAGGCCTGACAACTGAAATTCAATCCCTGGATCCCAAAGTAGAAAGAAAGAACCACTCCCAGAATTTGTCCTCTGACCTCCACACATACACCATTGCACATATGCTTGCTCTCACATGAAAGATAAAAAATGTTGTGAGGGGGGAAAAACAACTCTCAGAGGCAGAAATAATCAGAATAGCATCAGATCTACTGGCAGCAACCCTAAAAGTCAAGAAAACAAGGAATGATATACTTCAAGCCCTGAAAGTAAAAATGTCAACCATTGATAGTTATATCTAACAACACAAGCTTTTGAAATTGATGAAGAAACACCAATATTTCAAGACAAGCACAAGTTAAAGTAATTTGGGACAATTAAGCCAGGCTTGAATTCTTTTTTTATTTTTTGGTCTTTTTTGTAGCCCCAGCTGGCCTGGAACTCACAGAGATCCACCTGCCTGCCTCCTATGTGCTGGGATTAAAGGTGTGCGCCACCACACCCAGCTGAGAAAATTCTTAAGGGACTACCATACAGAGAGGAAGAAGAAAATTGTACCCACAAGAACACAGGAAAGACTATATTTCATGAAAGCAACTGAGCAGAGGAAAACAGAAGGAATTAATCAGGTTCAAAAACAGCAAACCGGCAAACATTCAATACAACCAGGAGAACAATTTTAAAAAAAGATCAGTAGGGCTAGGCATGGGGGTATACTCCAATCCCAGTACTTGGGAGGCAGTCAGAATACCTCTGTAAGATAGGGGCCAGCCTAGTCTACATAGTGAATTCTAGATCAGTTAGGGCTACAGGAAGACCCTGTCTCAAACCAAACCAAACCAAACCAAACCAAACCAAACCAAACCAAACCCAACCAACCAACCAACAAAAAAACAGGGGAAAAGATCATCCAACCAATGAGAATAACACCTAACAAAATCGCTGGTACTGGCAAAACCTTCTCAATAATAGCCCTGAATGCAACCAACCTTAATTTACCATTTAAAGATAAAGACTAAGGAATGTCGTTAGATAATGAGGTTCAGCTATCTGTTGTCTCCAAGAAACTCATGAACCATAGAGGGCATCCAAATCTGAGACACAGCCAAAGGCCAGAAACTGACCTACCAAACAACAGGAAGCCACAAACCAGCTGATGTAGCAATTCTTACAACTGGTAACACAGAGTTCAACTAAACCTTGCTAGAAAAGATAAAGAGGGCTACTTACTACACATTAATAAGAACAATTCATCAGCAGGGCATATACTGTAAATATTTATGTACCTAAACTTGGGGCCCCAAGTTTAACAAAACAAGCATTAGACGGCACAAAAGTCACATTAAGTTGTGACACAGTAATAGTGCAAAACTGCAGTATCCCACTCTCACACATAGATAGGTCTTGGAAATCAAAAATCAGCAAAAAAACTTCATATCTAAATTATAAAACAGATCAAATCGATTTAACAGGTTATCTACAGAACTTTATACTCAACAGGGAATACACATTTTTCTCAGCAGCACATGGAATTGTCTCTAAAACTGATCAATTATAGAGCAGAGAACAAACCTTAATAAACACAAAGAACCTAAAATAATCACTTGCATCTAATCAGATCACAGTGAAGGCAACTAAAAGTCAACATCAAGACTAACCTCAGAAAATACACAAAATAGTCCCTGGCTTTAGGAAGATCAGCTCTTCCTCACCTAGCAGTAATCAGCTGCCAAAATTTCTTCAGCTAAGTTTGGGGTCTGCTGTGTTTCCCCAGTTCTATGCTGGGTTTTTGTCTGCTTGTCTGCATAGATCTTGTGAATGCTGACACCAGTGCTATAGGTTCATATGAGCAGGGTCCCAGGAGCTTGTAGGACTCTATTTCTATACGGTCATTCACTTCCTCCCTGCCTCTTACAATCTTTCCGCCCCATTTTCTGCAATGGTACCTGAACCCTGGGTGGGTGAAGTTTAATTTAGGAGTCATGTCCAAGGACCAGAATTCTGCAGACTCTTAATTGCTAAGCTTTGGCCATTTGTGACCTTTTGTGTTCCTGGTCCTCTGCTGCATGAGGGAGCTTCATTAATGACAAGTGAGATATTCATTAGTGTCCTCTTTACCCTTTGTTCTATGTTCTATGAGCCTTAGGTGTAGAGGTTACATTGTAGATGCGCAACTTAGGCTTGGGCAATTCACAGACAATGTCTGTGTGTGACCAGTTGTGGTACTCTGCAATAGTCTCCATCTGGTGCAAAAGAAGTTTCTTTGATGAGTGGTGACTGGAATATTTGTCTGTAACTGTAAGGATACATATTTTGCACATAGTAAGAAATTACATAAGTCTAGGGATGTGACAGTCTTAGGGCTTTTGGCTAAAGATCTAGGACCTTTCCAGTCATGTGTATTTGGCTATGTTTACAGCACCACACATGAGTTTCCTCCCACTGAGTGGGCTTTTAGTCCAGTTAGGTAGCTGTTGATTGCCCCAAGATAAAAGTGCCACTACTGTACCAATGTAGAAGACGTAACAATTTAAATAGACCTATAAAAAAAACGATGAGATTGAAGCAGTAAGTAAAAGTCTACCTATAACACTGCAGCACTTTAATCCCAGCACTCAAGAGGCAGAGGCAGGGGACTCTCTGTGAGATGAAGGCCAGCCTGGTCTATACAGCTGAGTTCTAAGACAGCAGGAGATAAAGAGAGGCCCTGTCTTTAAAATGTCTATCCACAAATAGAAGTCAAGGACTAGATAGATTCACTACTGAATTCTATCAAACTTTTTGGAGGATCTAATTATAATACTTTTCCAACTGTTCCGCAAAACAGAAGGGAAAGAACACTACCAAGCTCATTCTATAAAGAAATATGCTGCTATCAAAAACCAGACAAAG